TTATTAGATGTAGAAACTAAAGCTACAATGATTTAGGAAAGTTATATTTGCCTCACCCAAAAAATATCTCAGAACTTCTTGAATCCACCTCGGATATAAAGGTAAGTAGAAAAAAGCAAATGTTTATAAGACAGCGAGGGTCACAAAGCATTACCCGGGACCACCAATCAGACTTATACAATGGCATTTAAGGACACGGTGAAGACCGTAAGAAAAACAACCACATCTTCCAAATAAGAAATAATTTATCGAGAAAAGACGCCGAGGATGTGTCTTTATAGCAGTAATTTGAACCTTGCAAAACCAGAAGTTCTCTGTGGCTGACTGGTTAAAAGCACGTCATGTTAAATGATGGTTTCCGTATGTGATACAGGTTCGATTCCTATCGGAGGATGCATGTTTTTTACGAAACATCTCGAATATTCTGGCCGGTAAATGTAATTAATACTGTTTCATTAAAAAAAAAGAGCACTTGCTTAAATAAACTGTAATATTAAAAGTAACGTATGAACAGAAAATATATTATTTAATTCATTTCGTATAATATATATGTTGAGTATATAATATGTTATTACATATACACATATAAATATTTGTTTTTGTATAACATTTTATCTGTTCACTTTAGCGTTTCTTACGTGTAAAAGGAACATTATTATCCCTCGTTATTTACAATGCTGACACTGGCAGTGATCAGTCGGATCTTTCTTTCCATGTTGAAAATATTGATCAAACAGATCGATTTAGTGACTCATCAAAACCTCATCAAACTAACTCAGAAAGGAACCCGGACGAGGTTCCGCCGAAGGGCAGAATCTCGTTCGGGGTGAATGACCTACCCTGATCTCGTTTTTACGAGTCATACGGGCATATTTTTTGGCTGAGCCTACGGGCTCAGGAAACCCACGATAAAAATGACCTTGTGTCGCATGCAACCCTCGTGGGGGGTGGCTAGATACTGAATCAAGCCGATCTTTTCGACTTGACGGTCTAACTCTCTGCTTTTGAGCAGAAAGGAACCCGGACGAGGTTCCGCCGAAGGGCAGAATCTCGTTCGGGGGTGAATGACCAACCCTGATCTCGTTTTTACGAGTCATACGGGCATATTTTTGGCTGAGCCTACGGGCTCAGGAAACCCACGATAAAAATGACCTTGTGTCGCATGCAACCCTCGTGGGGGGTGGCTAGATACTGAATCAAGCCGATCTTTTCGACTTGACGGTCGAACTCTCTGCTTTTCAGCAGAAAGGAACCCGGACGAGGTTCCGCCGAAGGGCAGAATCTCGTTCGGGGTGAATGACCTACCCTGATCTCGTTTTTACGAGTCATACGGGCATATTTTTGGCTGAGCCTACGGGCTCAGGAAACCCACGATAAAAATGACCTTGTGTCGCATGCAACCCTCGTGGGGGGGTGGCTGATACTGAATCAAGCCGATCTTTTCGACTTGACGGTCGAACTCTCTGCTTTTGAGCAGAAAGGAACCCGACGAGGTTCCGCCGAAGGGCAGAATCTCGTTCGGGGTGAATGACCTACCCTGATCTCGTTTTTACGAGTCATACGGGCATATTTTTGGCTGAGCCTACGGGCTCAGGAAACCCACGATAAAAAATGACCTTGTGTCGCATGCAACCCTCGTGGGGGTGGCTAGATACTGAATCAAGCCGAGCTTTTCGACTTGACGGTCGAACTCTGCTTTTGAGCAGAAAGGAACCCGGACGAGGTTCCGCCGAAGGGCAGAATCTCGTTCGGGGTGAATGACCTACCCTGATCTCGTTTTTTACGAGTCATACGGGCATATTTTTTTGGCTGAGCCTACGGGCTCAGGAAACCCACGATAAAAATGACCTTGTGTCGCATGCAACCCTCGTGGGGGGTGGCTAGATACCGAATCAAGCCGAGCTTTTTCGACTTGACGGTCGAACTCTCTGCTCTTGAGCAGAAAGGAACCCGGACGAGGTTCCGCCGAAGGGCAGAATCTCGTTCGGGGTGAATGACCTACCCTGATCTCGTTTTTACGAGTCATACGGGCATATTTTGGCTGAGCCTACGGGCTCAGGAAACCCACGATAAAAATGACCTTGTGTCGCATGCAACCCTCGTGGGGGTGGCTAGATACCGAATCAAGCCGATCTTTTTCGACTTGATGGTCGAACTCTCTGCTTTTGAGCAGAAAGGAACCCGGACGAGGTTCCGCCGAAGGGCAGAATCTCGTTCGGGGTGAATGACCTACCCTATCTCGTTTTTACGAGTCATACAGGCATATTTTTTGGCTGAGCCTACGGGCTCAGGAAACCCACGATAAAAATGACCTTGTGTCGCATGCAACCCTCGTGGGGGGTGGCTAGATACCGAATCAAGCCGATCTTTTCGGCTTGACGGTCGAACTCTCTGCTTTTGAGCAGAAAGGAACCCGGACGATGTTCCGCCGAAGGGCAGAATCTCGTTCGGGGTGAATGACCCACCCTATCTCGTTTTTACGAGTTATACGGGCATATTTTTTCTAATGAGCCTACGGGCTCAGGAAACCCACGATAAAAATGACCTTGTGTCGCATGCAACCCTCGTGGGGGTGGCTAGATACTGAATCAAGCCGATCTTTTCGACTTGACGGTCGAACTCTCTGCTTTTGAGCAGAAAGGAACCCGGACGAGGTTCCGCCGAAGGGCAGAATCTCGTTCGGGGTGAATGACCACCCTGATCTCGTTTTTACGAGTCATACGGGCATTTTTTTTGGCTGAGCCTACGGGCTCAGGAAACCCACGATAAAAACGACCTTGTGTCACATGCAACCCTCGTGGGGGGTGGCTAGATACCGAATCAAGCCGAGCTTCTCGACTTGACGCTCGAACTCTCTGCTCTTGAGCAGAAAGGAACCCGGACGAGGTTCCGCCGAAGGGCAGAATCTCGTTCGGGGTGAATGATCTACCCGATCTCGTTTTTACGAGTCATACGGGCATATTTTTTTTGAGCCTACGGGCTCAGGAAACCCCACGATAAAAATGACCTTGTGTCGCATGCAACCCTCGTGGGGTGGCTAATACCGAATCAAGCCGAGCTTCGACTTGACGGTCGAACTCTCTGCCTTTTAATGAAAGGAACCCGGACGAGGTTCCGCCGAAGGGCAGAATCTCGTTCGGGGTGAATGATCTACCCGATCTCGTTTTTTACGAGTCATACGGGCATATTTTTTGGCTGAGCCTACGGGCTCAGGAAAACCCACGATAAAAATGACCTTGTGTCGCATTTCAACCCTCGTGGGGTGGGGGCTAGATAAAAAAATCAAGCCGAGCTTCTCGACTTGACGGTCGAACTCTCTGCTCTTGAGGTTCCGCCGAAGGGCAGGATCTCGTTCGGGGTAAATGACCATCCCGATCTCGTTTATACGGGTTATACGGGCATTTTTTGGCTGAGCCTACGGGCTCGGAAAACCCACGATAAACTCGGCCTTGTGCCACATGCAACCCTCGTGTGTTTGGGGGGGGTGGCTAGATACCGAATCAAGCTGAGCTTCTCGGCTTGACGGTCGAACTCTCTGCCTCTGAGCAGAGAGGAACCCGGACGAGGCTCTGCTGATAGGCAGTCTCGTTCGGGGAGGTTGACAAACCCGATCCCGTTTATACGGGTTCTACGGGCATTTTTTGTCCGAGCCTACGGGCTCGTGAAACCCGCGTTAAACTCGGCCTTGTGCCATATGCAACCCTCGTGGGAAGGGGGGTGGCTGGATGCCGAATTGAGTCGAGCCGATAGTAGTTCACTCCAGACCAGACTATATTATCTATCTATCTATCTATCTATCTATCTATCTATCTATCTATCTATCTATCACAGTCTCTTTATATTTATCTATCACTGTCTGTTTCTATCTATCACAGTCAGTTTCTATCTATCTTTATTAGATGAAGATCAAGTTCAGCCATGAACTTCCGAAAAATTTGACAATGAAAATCCTTATTTCCATTAACACCTAGTTTCTACTGCCTTCTTCGAAATATTTTTTATTTGTTCATTAATGAACTCCGTTAATGGTAATGATTATGGTAATATTAACTGTATCCTTATAAGGAAACATTTGGTATTCGCTGACCGTACAGTTTGTACTATTGTCGATTGAACTTTATAAAATCTTTCTCTTCAAACAAATTTTCAGGGAAATAGGTTTCTCAAGTCCTGTAACTGTTAACGTTTTTTTTTTCCAGTATTAGCAGGGAGTTTCCTTCCTAACCTTTTGTTTGAAGTTGTGTGGAATGTCAACATCTTGATTATTTCATTTCTTTCTCTTCTCAAGTCCAGTAGCTGTTATCACTCTTTCCAGTATTGATGGGGGTTTCCTTCCTAATCTTTTGTTTAAGCAGTGTGGAATGTCAACATCTTGATTATGGCCTTATTTTCTCTTCGAGTTTCATGTTCTATCCATTTTAGTCGTTGCCGCTTTGAAAGTTCTCAAGTTATGTGTTTTGGTACAAGTCTTTGTTTGTGATTCTGTAGCGCCAGTCTACAAGGTTTAGAGAAAGATAGACCTCACTGAGACATTTAAGTTTCATTATATCAAAGACATTTGAACTATTGCTCTGAAAAATCAATTGCAAGCAGCTGTCTGTTTAGATATTTCTAAATGTGTTTGGTGTCATTCCTGACATCCAAATGAAAATCTCGATCTGACGAAGCTATTTCAGTACATGACTCGAGTTTTCTAGTTAATGATTTGTTTTTCCATCTATCTATCTATCTATCTATCTATCTATCTATCTATCTATCTATCTATCTATCTATCTATCTATCTATCACAGTCTCTTTATATTTATCTATCACTGTCAGTTTCTATCACAGTCAGTTTCTATCTATCTATCTATCTATCTATCTATCTAAAACTATTCCTATCTTTATAAGTAAACCTGAGATCTATCTATCTATCTATCTATCTATCTATCTATCTATCTATCTATCTATCACAGTCTATTTATACCTATCATAGTCTGTTTATATGTATCTATACCTGCATGTTTCTTTCAATCTATCTATCTATCTATCTGAACCTGTTCCTATCTATCTATCTATCTATCTATCTATCTATCTATCTATCTATCTATCTATCTATTACAGTCTGTTTATATCTATCATAGTCTGATTATATTTATCTCTCACTGTCTGTTTATATCTATCACAGTCAGTTTATATCTATCTATCTCTCTGTCTATCTATCACAGTCAGTTTCTATCTATCTATCTATCTATCTATCTATCTATCTATCTATCTATCTATCTATCTATCTATCACAGTCCATTTCTATCTATCTATCTATCTATCTATCTATCTATCTATCTATCTATCTGAACCTGTTCCTATCTATCTATCTATCTATCTATCTATCTATCTATCTATCTATCTATCTATCTATGACAGTCTGTTTATATCTATCTATCATAGTCTGATTATATTTATCTATCACTGTCTCTATCTATCTATCTATCTATCTATCTATTTTGTCAATCTCGCTCTCTATCTACCTATACCATCTGTTTATATTTATCCCTCACTGTCTGTTTATATCTATCACCGTCTGTTTATATCTATCTATCTATCTGAACCTGTTCCTATCTATCTATCTATCTATCTATCTATCTATCTATCTATCACAGTCTGCCAATAATTATACAAGGTTTTTCAATTCTTTGAAGACATTTGCATGAATTTAGTAAAAAAAAAAAAAAAAAGGATGAAAGAAGAGCTTAACTGGACAAAATTTGCTTTAAATGATCTTGAGACTCTTCCTGGTGCACCTCATCGATGCTAACGGCGGATTAATGATGACTGCCTCAATACGAGATACGAAACGTTGAAATGCCCGAATCAGATTATCTTGATCTGTTTTGGACATTATTCTAGAATTCTGGCGGACTTCAGACTTCTTACATTATTATACAGGGTCTGATTGACTTCCGTCTCGACTCCGCCCCGTTACGTAGTAGTCTAACAGATTCAGGTTCGCAGGAAGGAGCTGTTTGAGTAGAGTTGACTTCTCACCGATGGGATACGGAGGAAATGTGGGTGGTTCTCTACGGTATGAGTGGCATGGCAGGTCCTATCCGTGGAGGATAGAACTGGCGAAACCAAGGAATGTAGGTCGTCTGAGCGTTTTCCATAGAAATAGCGATGGGGAAGGGATGAATCACTCTACATCCCGCCTGTGAGAGAGAGGTGGGAGAGTGGAAAATGGTTTGTCACCCACAAGGACTCGACTCAGAGACGCCTTTGGACTCTATCGATACTGGAAAGTGAGGAGCTGGGCAACTCCCACCCAAATATGAAAACAAGGCTTCATTTTCGGACTGATCTGGTTCTTGTAAAGGTATAGAAGTCAGTCAATTACTGCAGTGGTATAGGGTTCTATCTATCTATCTATCTATCTATCTATCTATCTATCTATCTATCTATCTATCTATCACAGTCCATTTCTTTTTATCGCCATTTTCCAGTCGTAATTTTTTAAACAAGAAACTTTAATTTTTATATTTTAACAATGGTCACAGTTTTAAGTCGATGTTTGCGATATTGCATATGATTTGCAAGACATCTAGATATCACTTTGATTTCATTGTATAAATGAATAGTCTATTTTCGAATTATATTTTTAAAAGTCTTAATCTTCTTTCTTTGGGTCCATCGTATATTAACGTACTATCGGATTGTGCCCGATTTCCATTGTTAATATAAAATGATCTCAACTTGACTTTGGCGTTTGTCATGTTTTCGATTTCTGGTGTGTTCGAGATTAAAACCTTGCGTCGTTTACTTGCGAATCGTACTTTGCTGATGGTTAACGTTTTGTCCACAAATGAATGCCTTAAAGATGGAGGATGAAAAGTTGCATTTTCGCCATATAATGCCCTCTGAATTTTCGAAAGGGGTAAGCGTCAGAACTGCGACAAAAAAATAAAAAAAATTGGAAATTAACTATGCGGCCATTTTGATTACAGACCGGAAATAAGCTTTCAGTCGATTTTATGAAATATAGGGAGATAGATGAATGGGAAAAAATGAAACAAAGGGAGAGGAAAAGAAAGAAAGAAAGAAAGAAAGAAAGAAAGAAAGAAAGAACGGAAGAAGACAGAGAAGGAAGAAGATTACAGAAAAGAAAGTAAATAGAGAAAAAGAGAAAAAAGGAAACAGTGTAAAATATGTTTCTTTGTATCATCCATTTTGTTCTTGTTGTCTAATTATAATGAATCATTGAAATGAAATCGATCCAAACGCGGTCCCAGAATTCATTACAAATTAGCGAGCTCACAAACAGACACACACATTAATTTCAGAAAACCGACAGTCCAAAATGTCCTAATTAGCAACGGATTTCCATAAAAAATTCATATATCAGATCATTGCAAAAGTTCGTGCCCGATTTTCATTTTTAATATAAATTGACCGCAACTTCACATTGTCGTTTGTGGGTGTTTTGTCTACAAATGAATGCCTTAAAGATGGAAGATGAAAGGTGGCACTTTCGCCATATTCTGCTCTAGGAAAGGAGTAAGCGTCGAAACTGCGACAAAAAGAAAAAGCGAAAAAAAAAACATTCAAGATGTTTATTTGGATCATTTTTCCAGCTCTTCGGATGGTCAAAAAGTGTTTTGGCAGATTTCGTCAGGGTAATTTTAGCCTAAACGATCAACCACGTCCATGGCAACCTGCCGACATCGGTGAATACGCTCTGCTTGCCATCGTGGAGAATAAATCGAAGATTCCGATGGAAGAGACCGCTAAGAGTTTGAAAATCGATATCTCAACTGCCTTACGATATTTGAAGAGACTTGGGTTCGAGAAAAACGGTTGATTTTGGCAAATCGAAAAGGTGTCATGTCCCAGCCCGACAGCGCATTTTGCAAAACAAACATTACAGAAGCTTAAATAGTGGAAATGGGACCCCACCCTCCAGCACCCACCATATTCACCTGACCTCCATCGGATTTTCATTTATATTGTGAAAGTGAATATTTTCCTATAATTTAGGACCGCGTTTAGATCGATTTCAATTTAATGGAATGAAGAAGACATGTACAGACAATTGACAGTCCAAAATGTCCTAATTGACAATGGATTTCTATAATAAAATCATATACCAGAACATTGCAAAAGTTCGTGCCCGATTTTCATTTTTAATATAAATTGACCGCAGCTTCACATTGGCGTTTGTGGGTGTTTTGTCGACAAATGAATGCCTTATAGATGGAAGATGAAAGGTTGTACTTTCGCCATATCATGCTCTTGGAAAGGAGTAAGTGTCGAAACTGCGACAAAAAGAAAAAGAAGAAAAAAACATTCAGAAGGTTTATTTGGACCATGTTCCAGCTCTTCGGTTTGGCAGATTTCGTCAGGGTGATTTTAACCAAAACGCTCAATCACTCTCCAGGTGACCTGCCGACATCGATGAAGACGCTCTGCTTGCCATCAGGGAGAATAAATCGAAGATTCCGATGGAAGAGACCGCTAAGAATTTGAAAATCGATATCTCAACTGCCTTTCGACATTTGAAGGGACTTGGGTTTGTTTCCAAACACAACATGTGGGTGTCAGTGGGTGTCATATTCTCTGATGGAACACAACAAGCTCGATCCGTTTTCTGTGGCGATTTCTTTGCTGTTACGCCAAGAAAAGGAACCGTTCTTGGACAGAATTGCCACAGGCGATAGGAAATGGATCTTATTCTCCTTGATTTGAGTTCTAGTGCGGGCACCTTTCTCGATTTTTCCTTGATTACATAGACTTTGGAGAAAGAGTCGACGGTAACGACAAAATGGCGACTGCGAAGCGGCGACTGCGAAATGGCGACTGCGATGGGCCCGAAACTATAAACCACTCCAAGCACACATATAATTATAGGAAGAAGGAAAAGAATGAAAAAAAGGGGATAAATGGAAAGAAAAAAGAATAAAGATGTGAAAAAGAAAGAATGCAATCGATTTGTAAACGAACGAGGAAGAACAAAAGAAGGACGAAAATGAAAGAGAAAGAATGAAAGAAAAAGAAGGAAAAGTAGAAAAAAAGAAGTCGGAAGAAGAAGCAGAAAGAAAGAAAGAACCGCAGAATGAGAAAGAATAGGAAGAAGGAAATGAATAAAAAGAAGGAAACGCAGAAGAAAAAGTAAAAAAAAAAATGAGTAAGAAAAAAGAAAGAACGAAGAAAAAGAAAGAAAGTGACAGACAAAGAAGGTAAAGAAGAATAAAGAAAGACATTAAGAAGGAAAACAAGAAAGAACGAAAGAGACAAGGGAAGGTAAAAAGAAGGGGAATGGAATGAAAAAGAAGGAAGGAAGGAAGGAAGGAAGGAAGGAAGGAAGGAAGGAAGGAAGGAAGAAATTACAGAAAAACCAAAGAAGAAACAAAAATGACGAGAATAGAAAAAAGAAAGAAAGAAAAATGGAAAGAAAGAAAGGATAAGGAAAAAAAGAAAAAAGAAGAAAAAGAAAAGAAAGAAAGAAAGAAAGAAAAGAAGAAAAAAGGAGGGAAAGAAAGAAAGAAAAGAAGAAAAAAGTAAAGAAAGAAGGAAAGAAAGAAAGAAGGGAATATAAAAGTAAAGAAAGAAAAGTAAGGGAAGAAAGAAGGAAAGAAAGAAAGAAGGGATAAGGAAAGAAAAGAAAAAAGAAGAAAAAGAAAAACAAGAAGGAAAGAATGAAAGAAAGAAAGAAAGAAGGGAAGGAAGAAAAAAGAAAAAGAAAAGAAAGAAAAAAGGAAAGAAAGAAGAATTAAATGCCAAGAAAATATGAAAGGAAGGGAAAGAAGTTTGAAAGAAAGAAAAATTCGAAAGAAAATATGAAAAAAAAAATAGAAAAATAATAGAAAAAACGGAAAAAATAAAAAGAACCAAAATGAAAGAATTAAGAAAGGAAAATTCGAAAAAGATACAAAAAGAAAGGAAAAGAAGGTCAGAAACTGAAATAAAGAATTGATGAGTTTTTTACGGCTTATCAACCATTTGCAGGTTATTTAAAGCCAGAAATATTTGTAGAATGAAAAAAAAATTTTTTTAGATAATAATGATTTACGGATACAAGTGCTAATACTTAATCCATAACTGGGGGGGGAAGATGTCGATGTATGCCTTTTCCAAGCGGTCACCCAGCTAGGTACTGACCAGGTTTGACGTTGCTTGACTTCGGTGATCGTACAAGAACCGGTGTTTTGACGATATATGGCCGTAACCCAATTATACCACTCGCATATCCAAATTTACAGCACTTGCTATTCGTAAGCGGTCACCCAGCTAGCTAATGACCAGGTTCGACTTTGCTTAACTTCAGTGATCCTACGAGAACTGGTGTATCAACGTGATATGGCCGTAAGCCACTTATACCACTCGCATATCCTGATATTGCGAAGCGGTCACCCAGCTAGGTAATAACCAATCTCGACGGTGCTTAACTTCGCTGATCGTACGAAAACCGTTGTTTCAACGTGATATGGCCGTAAACTACTCATACCATTCGCATATCCAGATATACAGCACCTGCTATTGCTAAGTGGTCACCCAGCTAGGTACACAACAGGCTCGACGTTGCTTAACTTCAGTGATTGAATGAGAAACGGTGTTCCAACGTGATATAGCCATGCGCCAGGAAAGAAAGAAAGAAAGGATGGAAGGAATGAAGGAAGGAAGAAAGAAAGAAAAGGAAGGAAGGAAGAAAGAAAGAAAGAAAGAAAGAAAGGAAGAAAGAAAGAAAGAAAGAAAGGAAGAAAGAAGAAAGAAAGAAAGAAAGAAAGGAAGAAAGAAAGAAAGAAAGAAAGGAAGAAAGAAAGAAAGGAAGAAAGAAAGAACAGCAAGACTGAAGAAAGTCGTAAAGCAAAGACGGCATATCGTCAAGTATTCAGATTATACAAGACTCTGTAAATACAGGTAACAATGTATTTTTTCTTTGTTTCGGCCTTCAGCAAGAGCAAGCTAAGGATTTTCAAACAGCATAACTCCCTAAAAGAAAGAAAAATCGATTTCAACCCTCCCCTACTTCTGACAAACGAACGCAAACACGACCCCGTCGACATTTGCGTAGAGCGATTGCTGCTCAGAAGAACTTTTAAGCTATCAGAATCGATTACAGAAAGAATCACCGACGCGACCGATTTTGTCGACTGATAGATTTTGATTTGATCAGAAGCAGTAGACGATCAAATATGGAAGCACATTGTTGAAACAAAGGTCAGAGAACCGGGTCGACAGCATCATACTTCCTTCAAAGCAAGTTTTGATTAAACAAACAAAAAAAAAAAATAAAACCGAGGATTTATTTTTTGCTATTAAATCGACCCATGTGATCTATTAGGAATCGAAATAACCTCACGTCAAGGTTGTCTATGGAAGCACAAATTTACTGACATTTTTTTGTTTTACTAAATGTTTACCAAATGCAAGGTCCAAGAGCCACTAAAATTGATTTGTTTTGCTAAATGTTTACCAAATGCAAGGTCCTTCCTGCCTATTCGTGGCAGCCAGATACTGGATCTCACTCTGGCCAGTAGAAAATGGCCGCAAACTACATGAAAACTGCCGTAGAAGCATGAAAAAATCGATTATTTCCACTATCGATGGGAGTTGGGAAATGCAAAGTCGGTCTTGGCCTTCCCGCTAACTTGGAGCATGTGCATGTAAATTGTGGTGCAAATCCGTCGAAAATTGCGGCTGTGCATTCGTCACACACACACACACACACACACACACACACACACACACACACACACACACTCACACACACACACACACATCCTGCCTTATATATATATATATATATATATATATATATATATATATATAATAGTGTGTGTGTCTGTATGTATGATATCCTGTGTTCACGGCATACAACCGAGGTGTCTGTAATTTCCTCTGTTTATTTACACGGCTATTATGACCTGTTTATTTTGTTCCAAGGCAACTTAAGTTGTTATCCAATGCCTATCTAACATTTTGAAATGAATACTTTTATGCGTCATTTTCCCCGGACAGAAAAAAAAAATATTTGTTTAAAAACACCACCCGTGTGTTAATGATAGCAATTTATTTATGACTGGCATATGGTTAGGTGTTTCGCCAGCGGGTAATGGTTAACAAGTTAATGTAGTGCGTTTGATTTTCCCTGAGTACATAATAATTGTAGCCTAAAGTAAGTTTAACAAATACTGATAACTGAAATTGAAGGTTGATGTGGCACAACAGCGCCAGGTAAAATCTAATGAATTTCTTTTATCGGCCATTAGTACCGCATAAAGAATTCTGATCCTCACCTGTACTTGCATATTTGTTGCCTTATTACACATTTATATATATATATATATATATATATATAATTTCTCAGAGTTAACCTGTAGAAAAAGACAATATTCATAAAAGTAAAAGACAATAGGAAAACTGTAATAGTTGCCGACGCGTTTCGTCCGATGTGGAGATTTTCAAGGCAAAACGAAATGAATTTATTAAACAAAGTAACTAATAATAACAAAACAAAATGTCCTTAGCAACTGGGAGAATTTAGAGAACGCTATTTTGACATATACATACACTATTTCTCTCTCTCTCTCTCTCTCTATATATATATATATATATATTGACCACTAATATTATATATTTAAATATAGCATAATATAGCATATTAAAACTATATATATATATATATATATATATATATATATATATATATATATATATGCAAAACTTAGATGGTTAAATTATAGCCATTTTATATATTGACCACTAATATTATATATGTTAAATATATAGCATAATATAGCATACCTTAAAACTATATATATATATATATATATATATATATATATATATATATGAAGGGTTATGGTTAAATTATAGCCATTTTAGATTTCGCGCAGGCACGTTGCTTGGTTTTGTCTGTGAGAAAAAGAGCACCATGACACAGTACAGAAATGTGAAAACAGCTTTCGCACCGGAAGCTGCAATCTGAGGATATTGCTGAGGTCTCGGAAAGAGTTCGGTGAGTCTAATAGTGATTACGAAGGTCTTTGGAGAGATCACTAGTGATGACGAAGTTGTGTCTCCATGCATTTTCCCACAAGGCCTCAGACTCAATAAGGTGGCCTACATCAAGTGCCTTGAGGTAGTGCTGACCTTACTTAGTAACCGAAAGCTCCTCTGTGGCCCAATCGGTTAAAGGCACGTCAGGTTATATGACGTTTCCGTATAGGATACAGGTTCGATTCCTGTCGGAGGACGAATATTTTCTCTGAAAATTTCTCTGACATTCAGGCCTGTAAATGTTACTTAATACTGTTTATTATAAACAGAGCATTTACTTAAATATTTGTATCCACAAAAAGAACGTTTAAACATGTCTTAAAAATTATTGTCGGACTTTGTCCATTTCATAATTTTTTTATATATATATATATATATATATATATATATATATATATATATATATATATATATATATATATATATATATTATTTATTTAAAAATATGATTCCAAACGCGTTTGAAATCATATTTTTAAATAAATAATTATATTTATGCTCTATTTTTTATATCGAGCACTATTTTTTTAAAAATAATAACAAAAATACTAAAGAACTTTTTTGGATTATTTACCTAACGAGTTCTTTCCTATTTTCTATATATTATTCACACACACACACACACAAAAACACACACACACACACACACACACATATATATATATATTCATTTGTAAAAGTATTGAGTTTTTGTGACCCTGACCGTTTCACGCTTTTGCGATCATGTCTGATGTCATCATGTCTGATGATCGCAAAAACGTGAAACCAGGGTCATAAACTCATATCCACACAAATGAATATGTTAAATTATCGTTGATATTGAGCACATTGCAATAAGTTTTGCCACACAACACACACACACACACACACACACACACACACACACACACACACACACATATATATATATATATATATATATATATATATATATATATATATATAAAATGAGAAAAAACATATGGAAAAAAATCCACAGTTCGTTAGCATTTAAGAAAAAATGCTTCATACAAAGTAGAGCAATAATATATTGTTATCATTATTATTATTATTATTATAAAAGATTATGATAAAAACATGTTGAAATCATACGTAAAAACTTTCATGTTTCAATACTATGATTGTACTTCCTCAGGCGAGGGTAAGTAATTGGTGATCAAACGATTTTCCGAAAGATAAAGCGGGAACATAGCGTCAGAATTAAAAAGACTTGTGGGTATGTCTTGATTAACCAATTAAATGTCAGATCTGCGCTAAAATAGAAAAGTAAGTTCAGAGGGTGGAGGTGGGGGACTTATTTTTCATGTCATGATCAACCGAAACATAGACAGACCATCATTGACAATTGCGGAAAATAGGTAAGCAGTAAATGTATCGTGACTGTAGACAAATATAACATATTCATTTTTGAAAGGACGTTGAAAGGAGAGGGGTCGCTGGATAATCAGATGTAAAGTTAATTTTAACAGAAATTATTTTTTTAAATTTTAGATTCAGGAAGCTACTTAAATGGCCATGTAGATAAAATTAAAAATGTTGAGCATCTATATAAGATATTAATAATACTAACTGGACTGCAATACATAGCAATATTAAAGCTGAATAAACAAAATAAGGTAATTTACTTGTAAAGGGTAGATTATTATTTACTAATAAATTATGGCTATAAGAAATGGTAATACGTAATCTTTTAAAATTTAACTATATTTTAAGGTAAAAGATAAAATGTGTCGGCAATTTACAGTTAATTCACTCCTTTGGTTTAATAGGGATTTTTTTGTCAGCAAATTTGATAATTTCTAATTTTTCATGTAAACAAGAAGCAAGGTTCATTTAAAGATTTACAAGTTCTAACCACTTTTTTATTTTCCATTTTATCGTAGGGGTTTTATTAATTTCTTTTAAGTTTCAAAAATATTTAAAAAAGAGACAAATCAATCTGTACGCGTTATTGGTTTAAAATAATATAAAATGGTTTTTTTTTTCAGTTTTTAATCCTGATATAAAAATTACTTGGAATAAATTCTGAATTTTCTGTTATAGAAATAGTGTATACGTAAACAAGAGAGTCTGTTTGATATTGATTTGCAATGAACTTTAGAATTTCTACAATTACATGAATTGAAAAAAATTATTTGCGTTTATTTTTTTTTATAGCTAAATAAAAACTCAGGTTTTTGTATTGATTTAAAGTTTTATTATTTATTTAATTTTTTTCCATATTAAATTTCATATTTTAGTTTTAGCGTTTTTCTAATAAAAAATTAAAAGTTAATTATTTTGGAGAAAAATACACAATTAAATGGAGAAACATCTGCCCTAACTTAGTATTAATCATTTGGTTAAATGGGGATTGTACAAATGATTTTAAAGTTTCTATTTTCCTTCCTACGATCGCTTTTATTGTTATGTTTCATATTTTGCTGTCAGGTCAAAACTTACTTTTCTAAGGCAGTGTTATAAAATTTACTATAAAAAAAAAAAATATCTTTAAATGGAAAAGTTATTTGTTAATCCTATAGAAGAGGGGATGTGTTTGATTACGGATGGAGGGTGGTTAGAATTTGGGAGG